ATTCTCTCTTTGTCTTTGGTTTTGGCAAGTTTGAATATAATATGTCTTGGTGACTTTCTTTTGGGATCTACCTTATGTGGGGTTCGATGAGCATCTTGGATAGATATCTTCTCATCTTTGATGATATCAGGGAAGTTTTCTGCCAACAAATCTTCAACAATTTTCTCTGTATTTCCTGTTATCCCCCCCGTTCTGGTACTCCAATCACTTGTAGGTTATTCCTCTTGATAGAGTCCCACATAACTCTTAGAGTTTCTTCATTTTTTTAATTCTTTTATCTAGTTTTCCTCAGATAAGTTGGTGTCAAGTGCTTTATCTTCAGTCTCGCTAATTCTGACTTCTACTGCCTCAATTCTGTTCCTATGACTTTCTATTGAATTGCCTATTTCTGAAATTTTATTGTTAATCTTCTGGATTTCTGATTGCTGTCTCTTTATGGATTCTTGAAGCCTATTAAATTTGTCATTATGCTCTTGAATAACCTTTTTAAGTTCCACTACTGCTCTGTCTGTGTGTTCTTTGTTTTTTCTGCATTTTGATGTATTTCCTTCCTAATTTCTTGAAGAGTTATGTACATTAATCTTTTGTATTCTGCCTCTGGTAATTCTAAGACATTCTCTTCCTCCAGAAAATTTATTGATTATCTTGGGAGATTGCTGAAGCCATCATAGTCTGCCTCTTTATGTGATTTGTTATTGACTCTTGTCTCCAAGCCATCAGTAAGGTTATTATAATTTTTTAATTTTATATTTGCTTACTGTGTCCTAGCTTCTTGTTTTGACATGCCCAAATAGGCTGCTCATGTGCACTAGTTTGATTATTAGCACCTTTGAAGCTCTAACATCCTGTCACCAGGTAGTTAGATCCTTTTCTAAGCATGTGAGCCCAGGAGTCCATTAAATTTTCTTGTATGGATTCAGCTCAGGCATCCAGGTAGTTGGTCACCAACTGTGTGGTGCAGGCTCTCACCTACACTCCTAGAGAGGCATGGGTGATTGGTGTAGGCACAGGTATCTGGCTGCAGTAGGAGGTCATGTGCTGAGAAAGGCAGAGTGCTGACGGCTGCTCTCAGTGTCTGAAAGGAAAGCGTGTCCCTGTTCCCTAGAGTGAGTAGGTAGGTGAGTTTTGCAGCTGGACTATGAGCACCCTACACTGTTGGCTGTAAGGACTGGGGGGCACCACTTATTCTTGCACCCCTGTCACAGGTGGCTAGGTGGCATGGGTGGAGCCACCAGTCCTCAAGCCCCTGATGCAGACAGATAAGGAGCCTGCTTAATGAGCAGAGCAGTGTCAAACGTCACAAATCTGCCACTTCACAGCTGAAATAATTGAAGTTAAACTTCAGGTATATACCCTGTTGTACTGTGGTAGTGAGGGCTTATGCTGTTGAATGGGCCCACATAAGTCTATGCAGGGGTGATAGGCATTCAAAGTCTGCAGACCCCTTATGCCTGTGCCTAGGCAAAGGGGATGCGCCAACCCTGAGGTCCTGGCTTAGGGGAGCCGGTAGCTTATTTTTTCCCTGTTTGTTAATTTGCTCCCTCTCCAAGGCCCAGAGAATGGCTCAGGTCACCTTAAGAGGTCTACTTCCAGCCCAGGGGACTCTTCAATTGCTAAAGACAGCCAGGACCCGGTGCAGAGCAGGGAGAGGGGAGGTAAATGGGAGAGAGGTTTTTCCCAAATGTTTATTATTTTTTTAATCCCTGCAGTAGGCCACATGTAAGTATTTATCTTTAGCCACTTGAGCGCTGCTTTTCACTGGTTCTGGGTGGCCAAGTAGACTCTCTGCTGCTAGGTCTCTCTCAATGTGGAAACCCCTCCCAAGCGCCGCTGTTTGCCTGCATCACTGTGTGCCCTGAACTGATCTGGGCTGAAGGGCTGCGGCTCCCACTGGGTCAGGTCTGGTAACTCTTAGATGCTTCGGAACCATGTCTCCCTCCCCCTTCCACTCAGTCCGATTCCTCAACTTTGCCTTTGATGTTCAGGACTCCTAGATAGTCATATACAATCAATTCACTTGTTTTTTCAGGTCTTTGTTGCAAGATGGACATAGGAAGAGTCTAACTACTCTGCCATCTTGGCCCCGCTTCCTCAATTGAGTTTTGATGAGGATGCTAAGTCCCTTCAATGGGGGAAAGAATAGTTTCTTTAATGCTGCAGGGACAAGTAGATCACACCATATACAAAAATTAACTCAAATGTAACAAGAACCTAAAAGTAAAAACTAAAACCATAAAACTTTTAGAAGAAAACATAGCAGTAATTCTTCAAGATTTAGTATTTGAAAATGGATTCTTAGATATGACATGAGCAACAAAAGTCAACATCGATAAATGGGACTTCATCAAAATTAAAAAAAAAATTTTCATCAAAACACTTTATCAACATAGTATAAAGACAACCTACAGATTAGGAAAACATTTCTGGGAACTCCATATCTGATTAAGGTTTAATGTACAGAATATATAAAGAACTCCCGAACAAAAAGACAAACAACCCAATCAAAAAAAAAAAAAAAAAAAAAAAGGCAAAGAACATAAATAGACATTTGACCAAGGAAGAAATACAAATGGCCAACAACAATGTCATGAAAAGATGCTCAAGTCATTTGTCACTAGGAAAAAATATATCAAAACCACAATGAGACATCAATTCACCCACGCTAAGGTGACAATGATAAAATAAACAGAAAAGAGCAGGTGTGGCAAAGATGTGGAGAAATTGTGAGTGTAAAATTATACAGCCACTGTGGAAAACAGTTTTAGGTTCACTAAAAACACTACCACTTATTTTTCTAAAGTAAGAAAGCTGGAGAAGGGGTTGATTGACTTCTGCTTCCAGATGCTTCACTGAGCTACAATCAATTCCACTCCTAAGTATATACCTAAAAGAACTGAAAGCAGGAACATAAACAGACAAATGCACACCAGTGTTCACTGTAGTACCCATCACAATAGCCAAAAGGTAGAAACAAGCTAAATGTCCATCAACAGATGAATAGATAAGCAAAATGTGGTCCATATATACAATGCAATATTACTTTGCTATGAAGAGAAATAAAATCCTGATCCATGCTACATGGATCTGCTACATGCAGAAAACTTGAAAACATTATACTAAACGAAATAAGTCAGTCATAAAAGGACAGATATTGTATCATCCCACTTAAATGAAATATCTAGAATAGGCAAATTTATAAAGACGAAAGTAGGGGTCAGAGGGAAGGAGAAAGAGGGAGTCATTGCTTAGAAAGTCATTGCTTAAGGGTACTGAGCTTCTATTAAGGGTGATAGAAACAGTTGGAAATTGATGATGAATGTAATTATTGTCACTGAATTGTACCTGTAAAAAATGTTGAAATGGCAAATGTTTTGTTATATATAAACTTAACGACAATTAAAAAAAAAAAAGCCTTGCTCTCTCTTCTTTCTTTGCTCCCTGCCCCTGTGAGGCAGCTCACATGTCATTGCTATTAGAATGTTGTTTATTTCATTTTATACCTTACTGTGAGGTATGTGACAGCAGGAAGTAGGCGGCTTACCCTCTTTGTCCCCTGAACAGCCTGTGACTCCGTTTCTCGCAGCTCTAGTCACACTGGATTATAATAATCTGTTGACTCATTTGCTTCCCTAACTGGGGAGTGAGTGAGGCCCTTGAGTGCCCATTCTGTGTTTATGGATATTTGTATCCCCAGAGCTCATCCTGGAGGTGATGAGGGGCCCACACAGAAGACAATAAAGTTGTGGCATTGGACACATTTCTTAGGAAAGGTGCTGGCAATCTGAATGAGTTTCATTTTGTAGGAGGCACTATTGGGTAGCTCAGGGATGTATCTGGAGACACAATTCAATCAACTCATTCCTTAGCTTTCTCACTTTGGAAGAGCTGGGTCACATCCACAAAGACACATTTCTCTGGCCCAATAATCAGAATTTTTAATAAACAGGAAATTGTATGGGCATTGGGAGAGGTGCTCCTGATCCTGTATAAGGAGCAATTCTACTAGCCCCAGAGAAGGCACCATGCAAATCCCAGCTAATCTCATATAGGTATCCTGTTCCCTTAATTACAGATGGATATAAATTTCTATTACCTGCTGAGAAAGGCATGAAGTAGTCACTCTTTTTAAAGTTGCCACTGTCATCCAGAAAGTGACCAGGGTCAAACACTTCTGGGTTTGAGAACTCTTTGTTGTCGTGCAGCACAGAAGACAATGATGTTAGTATGGTTGTGCCCTGGAATGAATAGACATGAATGAACTTAGTTATAAAGAAGTCATGATAGAAATGAAGTTGGTAGAAGTGTTGGATACCACCTAGTCTAATATCTTTGCTCTATAGATGAGGAAATCCATGTCCAAAGAAAGGCAGTTACAATTCCACTCAGATAGACAAAAGTAACAAACACACGTAGGTTTGTTTATACATAGGGGCAATAATATTGCAAAAGTGGGCTCCAATTACAGTGGAAGTACTGAGTATCTGGGTGCAGGACCTTCTAAATAAGTTTCAGATATTGTATATGAAATTTGTCAATGACTTCCTGCACCTATCTATTCTTATCCTCGGAATATTATTGATCGATTTTTAAGAAAATAGTCATATATCTTTCCCTATAATGAATTTTATTCTCTATTCTGAAAAAAAACCCCAGAGATAAAGAGTTATGATTGATTATGGATTATTCAATTTATGTCACATTTCATTATATAGCATTCTTGAATACGCAAACTTGCAGGGACAGACGAAACTGCAGGTGGTGGAGTGGATTGGTTCCAATAGGTGCATGAGGGAAGTTTTTGGGGGTCCAGTGATTGAAATGTTTTATATCTTGATTGTGGTGGTGGTTACATAACTGTCAAAGCTCATTGAACAGTACACTTAAAAGGGTGAGTTTTATTTTACATAATTTATATCTTGAGTAAAAAATAGAATACATCAAGACACAAAAACACACATAATGTAAAGTAAGACTCTACTGCATCTAAACAAAGAACCCCATTTAGACTTTCTAGAAACAACAATTCCCACTAATTGGTTATATGTCCTTCCGGAAATATGCCCTTTTCAAAATATTCTATGCATATCAGGCAGATAACTTATATACATTTAGCTCAATTTCCTTTTTTCTTTATTCAAATGACAAGCACTCTACTGCATTTTGATTTTTGTATTTATTAAATAATTTGAGTATTGTCCCATATGGACACATATTCATCTGCCTTATTCATGCTGCACAATATGAATGAACCATCTCACTTCTGATGAACATTTAGATAGTTTATAATATTCCTTTATTCCAAGTAATGATGTAAGGAAAATTATTTAGACATTCTTCCATTTGCACATGGAGTAGGTACCAAGAGTTTGAGTTCTTGCATTGTAAGATATTACATTTTCTATTTGAATATTCTCAGATAGTCCTCCAAATAGATGTACTAATTTATAATCCAGCCACCAGTGCATGCAAGTACTCATTTACACATATCCTCACCAACACAATGTTTTTTTAGCCTGTGTCTTAATCAGTTTGATGGGTAAAAATGGTATCTTACAGTTTAGCTTGAATTTTGCATATATTACCTGGGTTAATTCTTGCAACATCCTGCTGTGGTGAATAAGGTACGTATTATCAACAGGTTACAAGTGAAAAAAGTGAAGTTCAAAGGGTTAAGAAATTTACCAAATTTGCACCTAGGTGTAGCGGAGCCAAAGTTCCTACCAAGTTCCTCTTGACTCTTGCCTTATGTGGCTTTACATTTTTTTCTAATTAGCGTTTTACAACAAAATCTAGATTTTTTTTTATTGTACTTTAGATGAAGGTTTACAGAACAAATATTTTCTCATTAAACAGGTAGTACACATATTGTTTTATGACAGTGGTTAACAACCCCAAGATGTGTCAACACTGTCCCTTCTCAACCTTGGGTTCCCTATTACCACCTTTCCTGTCCTGTCCTGCCTTCTAGTCCTTGTCCCAGGACTGTTGTGCCCCATTAGTCTCGTTTTGTTTTATGGGGCTGTCTAATCTTCGGCTGAAGGGTGAACCTCGGTAGTGACTTCATTACTGAGCTAAAAGGGTGTCTGGGGGCCAGACTATTGGGGTTTCTCCAGTCTCTCTCAGGCCAGTAAGTCTGGTCTTTCTTCGTGAGTTAGAATTTTGTTCTACATTTTTCTCCAGCTCTGTCAAGGACTCTCTGTTGCGATCCCTGTGAGAGCAGTCAGTGGTGGTAGCTGGGCACCATCTAGCTGTACTGGACTCAGTCTGGTGGAGGCCATGGTAGTTGTGGTCCCTTAGTCCTTTGGACTAGTCTTTTCCTTGTATCCTGTTCTCTTCATTCTCCCTTGGTCCTGAACGGGTGAGACCAATGGAGTATCTTAGATGGCTGCTCACAGGCTTTTAATACCCCAGACACTACTCACCAAGGTAGAATGTAGAATATTTTCTTTATAAACTATGTTATGCCAATTGAGCTAGATATTCCCTGAGACCATGGTCCCCACAGCCCTCAGCCCAGCAATTCCATCACTCGGGGACTTTGGATCTGTGTATGGAGCTTCCATGACTTTGCCTTGTACAAGTTGTGCCAGCTTCCCCAGTATTGTGTACTGTCTTACCCTTCACCAAGTTACTACTTATCTATTGTCTCTTTAGTATTCCCCCATCCCACCACTCCCATCCCTCGTACCCAACAAAGACTGTTTCTTTTTGTGTGTAAACCTTTTCACGGGTTTTTACTCTAGTGGTCTCATGTAATATTTGTCCTTTTGTGATTGACTTATTTCACTCAACATAATGTCCTCCGGTTTCATCCATGTTATGAGATGCTTCATGGATTCATCATTGTTCTTTATTGTTGCATAAGACTCCATTGTGTGTATGTACCATAGTTTGTTTATCCATTCATCTGTTGATGGGCATTTAGATGTTTCCATCTTTTTGCTATTGTGAACAGTGCTGCAATGAACATGGGTGTGAAAATGTCTATTGGTGTGACAGCTCTTATTTCTCTAGGATATATTGCTAGGAGTGAGATTGCTGGATTGTATATTTCTATTACTAGTTTTATAAGGAAGAGTCATATCATTTTCTAAAATGGTTGTATCATTTTGCATTCCCACCAGCAGTGCATAAGACTACTGATCTCCCCACAGCCTCTCCAGCATTTGTTATTTCCAGTTTTTTTTTGATTCATGCCAGTAATGCTGGGGTGAGATGGTATCTCATTGTGGTTTTGATTTCCATTTCTCTAATGGCTAGTGATAGCGAGCATTTCCTCATGTTTCTGTTGGCCACTTGAATGTCTTCTTTGGTCAAGTGTCTGTACATTTCCTTTGCCCATTTTTTAATTGGATTATTTGTCTTTTTGTTGTAGAAGTGTTGGATTTTCTTGTAGATTTTAGAGATTAGACCTTTGTCTGACTTGTAATGTCCAAAATATTTTTCCCAGTCTGTAGGTTCTCTTTATTACTCTTTTGATGAAGTCTTTTGATGAGCATAAGTGTTTAATTTTTAGAAGGTAGCGGTTATCTAGCTTATCTTCTGGAGTTGGTGTGTTGTCGGTTATGGTTTGTATCCTGTTAATGCCGTGTATTAAGGCCT